TCCTGGTGAGTGAAATAAGACTCTACCCCAGCAGAAGTTGTCTCACAAAGTAAAGTGTATTTGCAGCAAATAGGAGGCCACAAGCAATCATTTCCAAAGTCATAGCTTCCCCAACAAAGGAAAGCAGGGACTTTTATTTGGTTGAGGAATGAATATTCAAAAGCGGGAGGCGGGTATTTGCTTGCACAGGCTCAGTTGGAGAACATGCTTCCACACAATGAGGCCTAAGCTGCTCCCCGAGAGATATTTGCATTAAAAGTAAGGCAAAGGTCATGGGTGTGGCTCTTGTGGTGAGGCTTGGTCAGTTCCAGGATGGCTGCTGGTTACGTCTCCTTAACACACAAAAGGAACAGAAACAACGTGCAAACACAGTTAATTACTTCCAAACCCACCTTTGAGTTTCTCCAGGCCCCTAGTCCGTGACAAATCTACAATTGTATCAAAATATAATATTTGATTTAAAAAACTACCTTATCTCACATTTGGACTCATATGTCTTCGAATTAGGAGTCAATCCGAGTATAATAAGATAGATTTATTATTTTACCTTTATGCATGAAGAAAGAGAAGAGAAACTCTAAATCGTTTTTCTTTTTCTTACAGGGAAATATATAATCGTACCATCAGAAAATAAACTTATCAGTTTACAAATACTACAATTATCAAGTTAAAGCAAACAATTATATTGCAGTCTTTTATAAGACAGAGCTACAAATCTGATGTCTAGGTGTCTTAGAAGACCTCTTTTCTGTAAATAACATTACTAGGACATTTTTATGTAACAGAAAACAAAACAGGACTTTATATTTTCATACAAGTATCTGCACTAATCAAGAGAGTAATACTGATACTTTTGTGAATGTTATAATTTAATATTTTATCAGAACTAGATTTCAGGACTCAAAATAATGAAGTTTGGTTGTTTTTTTTTTTTTTTTTCCCTCAGCTATGGGAGAAGAGGGAAAATTTTCTATTCTCTGGTCTTTTAGAGACACTTTCTGCTGGCAATTACTAATAGAATGACCAGCGTTTCAAGAAAAGAACGAACTCGAGAAGTTTAAAATTTATATAGAAAAAGAAAAGGGCATGTGAGAAATTTTTACAGATGAAGTCTGCTTTCATTAATTTAAATCTAGTTTCTTTCAGCTCTATTCCATCTTACAAGCCACTACCACACTAGATCTCCTAAAAGCACCATTCTGATGATTGATACCCCCATTGCACAAGCTTTCATGGGCTCCCGGTGGCTATATCCCTGGCCATTTACTGTCTCTAATCTACCTTTACAATACCATTTCCTTATTGATGCATTCTACACCGGCAATTCTCAATATAGGCTCCCTTTTAGAATCATTTGAGGAGGAGGGGGGACCTCTAAGAAAATACGGATGCTCAAATACCATCCCCAGAGATCTCAATTTAACTGGTCTGTTTTGATGTATTAGAAATGTTTTTTAAAAGTTCCCTAGTGATTCAAATGTGTAGGCAAGGTAGAGAATCATTATTCCACTTCGTTCCCTAAAGCTGAAATAACAATTTCAACTTTGTGGAAATCCTATCTTTGCTTTAAGGTTTAGTCCAAGTGCCATAAATCCCCTATAAAGTCTTTTCCCAAAGAAAAACACTCCCTGCCCCCTACCTTGGGCCACAAGCAATATAGTTGATAAATTAATTATAGACCAAGTTGATGTCATATTATCATTATTGACACTTGTAAAGCCTCTCTTGTTTTATTTATCCTCTTTTTAGTCCCATTTCTATCCTCTGGTAGGCATCTATTCTAATGCAGTTAATGTGCACTGCTTTGTTTTTTTTGTAAAACAGGTACTGTTTTTTGCACAAATATATTTAGTAAATATGTCTAGTTTAGCATAGTGAACAGTTATGTATCACAAGCTTATACTTGATTATTATGTAGTGATAACCACTGCCCCAATAATGACATAGAATATTACCAGCAGCACCCAAGTCCTCTTATGCTCTTGGCAATCACTATTCTTGCTCCCCAAAGAATCTCCTTTCTCGACTTCACAGATTACTTTTCCTGTTTTTGAGCTTTATATAATTGGAAGTTCAAAATGTATTCTATTGTGTCTGTTTTATCGTGATGAACATTGTGTTTCTGAGGGTCATTCATGTTGTTGCCTATAGCAGGAATTTGTTCATGTTTATTGCTGAATAGTATTCCATTGTATTAATACACCACAGTATGTTTCCACTCTACTATTACTGGGCATTTGAGTTTCCAGTGTTTGGCTATTACAAATAATGCTGTTATAACCATTTTGTATATTTTTTTTGTGCACATATATGTGTTTTTTGGGAAAGTATATTTACAAGTGAAATCTCTGGATCATGGTTTGATTTATGTTCAACTTTAGTAGTTATGTCAAAGAGTGACCTAAGATTGTTATAAATACTTATAGTTTCAGTTGTTCTATATCATCCCTAAAAAATTATATACTGGCCTTTTTCCTTTTATCAATTATAGTGGGTGTTTAGTGATATATGTGGGATTTTTTCCTTGCTAATTTTTTTTCTAAATCAAGGTGAAGTACATAAACATATGTCATTCGTGTTGTCTGGTATTGCAAATTCTGGAAGCTCCACAAAATAGATATTTAAAATAATCATTAATACTAACAGTAGCAACTTTTGTCAAAGGTGATTAATCTTTTCCTTAGGGATTCAATGACAGTTTATTATGGAATTTACCCTTAAGCATCTGTAGCTATGTTTTCAAGTTCACTGATCTTTTCTTCTGTGAGTCTAATCTGCTGTTAATCCTATCTAGTGAACTTTTCATCTCAAGACATTGCAGTTTCTAATCACTAGAAGTTGGATTTGTGTGTCTTTTTAAAAATGTCTTCCATGATTCTACTTAATATAGTTATATAAGTATTTTCATTTCCTTATCTGCTAATTGTAACGTTGGTGTCATTCCTGGATCTGTTTCTATTCGTTGATTTTTTTCTTCATCATGGGTCATACTTTTCTCCTTCTTTGGAATCTTTGATTGTACTCCAGAGATTGTGAATTTTTAACTTGTTGGGTGCTGTCTATTTTTGCATTCATCTAAATATTCTTGAATTTGTTCTGGGACACAGTTAAGTTATTTGGAAACAATACTATCTATGATATGTAATATATAATATTTCTATCCTTTTGGGTCTTCCTCTTAAGATTTGTGTAAAGGAAAAACCCAGTTCTTCCCTACTTTATCTTTTTTCCCTGTGTCTCTCCTTCACTGCTCAAACAGAACTCTCCACTTCTGACACTTCTGGTCACCAAATATGTGGGTTTTTCCCCTCACAACAAGCAATTCTCTGTGACACTAGCTAGGTGTCCTAAAATTTAACTCAATTCTAACACTAGCTACCTGGAGATAGTGTCAGATCCCACAGGTTATAGGCTCAATCCCACAACACTTCTCCCCACCCTACTTCACATGCCAATCACAAGTCGTAGGTTCCCAGGTTACCCACATCTTATATCCAATTTGGCTACAAATTGGAGATTTCTACAACCTCCTCCTCAGGTTTGATTAATTTTCTAGAGCAGCTCACAGAACTCAGGGAAATACTTATGTTTACCAGTTTAGTAAAGGATATGATAATGGATATAGATGAAAAGCCAAATGAAGAGATACATAGGGTGAGGTCTGTGGGGGTCCTCAGAGCAGGAGTCTTTGTACCCATGAAGTTAGGGTGCATCACCCTCCAAGCATGGATGTGTTTGCCAACCTGGAAGCTCTCCGAACCGCATACTATTGGGATTTTATGGAGGCTTCTTCATGGAGGCATGATTAATTGTTACTCCATTTCTAGCCCTTCTCCCCTCTCTGGAGGATGGAGGGTGAGGCAGAAAATTCCAAGGTTCTATTCATGACCTGGTCTTTCTGGTGACTAGCCCTTGTTCAGGAGCCCACTCAGATCACCTCAGTAGAACAAAAGATACTCCTAGTGCTCTTATCACTTAGGAATTTACAAGGGTTTGAGGGGTCTGTGCCAGGAACCAAAGGAAGATACATATACGTATATATGTTCTATTATCTCACAATTTATTGGAGGGAACCAGGCCACCATTTAGTCTATGGCTAGTCGTTCCCCACTACTGAGGCAAGATGTTCTGAGTACTCATGAAATGCCCCATAAATGATGAGGTTTTCCAGTCTGGCTGGTTCTGAACATGCACTATTCCCATCTGGATGGGAACTCTGGATACTGTGTCCTCTAATCATCTCATGTTTTTCTCCTCCATCTTCTGGTAGTTTCCTCGTATACGTACTACTGAATACTCAAAGGGGCACTCTGTAGATCTCAAGTTCTCTCTCTGTACATCTTTCTCCTTTCTGATACTCTGAGGTTTGCTTACTCATCTCACTGAATCTATTGGCATTTGCTCGGATTTCTACTTCTTAATCTACGCCTACAAAACTCTCTGAGCAGTAAGCTGAAGCAATTGTAAAGATCACCAATATTTTTTTTCCAGAAGATCACTGCCCTTCATTGTGTGATGGCCAGTGTCTTGAAAAGGATTTTTTCATATATTTTATCTTTTTTTTCTTTTTTAGTTGATTAAGGCAGAAGAATAAATCTGGTCCCTGTTATTCTATTTTGACAGGGGACAGAAGTCTGCGGAGTTGATCTTTCTAAGTTAAAAACACTTTGCATTTTAAAATTCTAAAACATTTATCAGCTTCACTTATTTTATTTATAGCCCACTTAACTTTACATGATATTCTCTATATTTTTCTGGAGTGTGCTTTCTCTCAGGGTCAGAGACTTGTCCTTTGTACATGGTTGAGGCTTAGGAAATATTAATGGTCTGACATATTTCTACAATCCACTTATACCGAGTGAATCTCATTTTAGGAAAGCATTCATTTAATCATGGAGCGGCTGACTTTTACAAAGAAGATTCGACAAGAATGCCAATTCACCATTGCTTTCGCTTTCTAGTTCCTGCTTCTGGTATGTTTGTTTCAAATAGTACAGAGGATTTGTCATTCTGCTAAGCAGCAGAATGGCGGAGGCTTCACTGAAAATACTACAGGCAGACCTTATTTTCAGAGATGACATGGAGAAAGGAGGATCTGGTAAGGTAAAACTGGTGAAATTTAAAAAAACTGAAAGGGAGGAGGGTAGCATTTCTTCAACTGAAGCATGTTGGAAACTGCATTTCAGGAGTGTTAGCACTTCACAGTCAATCTCCACAGAGGGAGATATGTTTTGAGGGAATAGAGGTGGGTGGGAGGATAGGTGTATAATTGTTACGTTAGTTATTATATTACTGTGTGTGTTACTTAAGCATTTCTGGGGCAGGAGAAATGAACAGTGAATTAGATTACAAGAGGATAAGGGGAAAATGTTCTTTGTGTTTGTATTGTTAGTTCTAATATTTTTCACAGGTCCCTGGCAACTTGCACTGTGGCAAGTCACATTATGATTTTAAATAACAGCTCATTTATATCCCAGAGTGGTGACAAACCCAGACTCCAACAATTTTGTAATACATATACTAACAAAAGTTGCCTGAAAAAACTGGGACTTTTGGTGTATAGATCCTTTGTAATTTAAAAACAGATGTGATGGGTCATGGTGGGAGTGGGAGGCTGAACCAAACCACCAGCAAATCCCTTAGCATTTTTAGTTATAACAAATTTGATAAGAAAGAAGAAGAACATACTGGATGCATGTTTGTACTTAGTCCAGCAGAAAGGATATCTTTTACTGAACCTCTTATTTTCTGCTTTTTAAAAAGCATGTATTTCATTCTTTTTCTTCTTTTCTTCTTCTCTCTCTCTGAATTTTATTTTTAATTTGCAGAACTGGATATTGGATCTCTGAAAAACAGTGTTTATATTTAATGAAAAGAAAAGTTTTTAAATGTTAATGTTTACCAGCTAAGCCAAGTGCTTACAAAGCTGAAACTATTCAACCAATCTGAAAGTTACACTTGTTAACACTGCCCAATCAGAATGTTACACATTGCAATTATGAAACCTGTTTTGAAATGCCAACGGTTTTATAAATTAAAATATTTACAAAATATTAAATATTACAAAATATATTTTGTAAATATTTTGGATTATGAAACTAAAAATTAAAATTAGACTAGTAATATGGTTAATATCTTTGTTCTTCTAAGAGATAATTCCTAATACCATTTTTCAACTAGAAATTTGTAGGTTATTGTGTTCAGAGTATAGTATAAGAGTCTTATGAATTTGGAGGGAGACTGGAAGAGGACACACTATAAGAAAGGTAGAAGAAAAATAAGTAAGCCAGAGTGAGAAATGGAGCATGATACAAGGGAGGATGTTAGTAGCAGGAGCTAGCTTTAGAGAAATAAAGGAGAAGAGAAAAGGAGGCTTTTAGAAGATTAGTAAAACAGGCAAATAGGGGATTTATTGGGGAGATTTCAGGGGAGATTCACATCTTACCCTTCTAACAATGAAAAAGTTATGAAAGTCATGATATATGGAGTTTTTAAGACACTTTTGCTTTAATGCAGAAAGAAAGAATGAAAGTTGAGATTTTTATGTGGAGCCAAAATCCAATTGTCATTGTATACTGTTTAAGACAATCCAATCCTACGGTTCTTCTTCTCTGCCTAGAATTTAAACTGAGGCTCCCTGTTATGCAGGGAGATATACATGAAATGAGTGAAATGTAGTGGTTAAAAAAAAGTCAGTAGGAACTTTTTTTAAGTATAATTTACACTCAGTAAAATTCATTCTTTTGATGTACATTTCTGTGAGTTTTGACAAACACATACAATCATGTAACCACTATCACAATCAAGATACAGAGTAGTTCCTCCCTCTCCCACTTTGAATATATCATTCCAGTCTCTCCTAGTCTGGAGGTTTCTGCTGAAAAATACACTGATAGCCTTGTGGGGGATCCCTTATATGTGAGAAATTTGTTTTCTCTTGCTGCTTTTAAATTTCTCTGTCTTTGATTTTAGACAGTTTTATTATTGTGTGTCTTGGAGAAGATCATTTGGGGTTGAAATTTTTGGGTGATCTGTTAGCTTTATGAACTTAGATATGTAAGTCTTTCCCCAGATTTGGGAAGTTCTCAGCCATTATTTCTTTAAATAAGCTTTCTACTTCCTTTCTCCCTCTCTTCTCCTTCTGGGAGTCCAGTAATGGATAGATTATTTCTTTTAATGGTGTCCTATAATTCATATAGGCTTTCTTCACGAATCTTTTTCATTTTGCTCCTCTGACTGTATGATTTCAAAAGATCTGTCTTCTACTTCACTAGTTCTTTCTTCTGCTTGCTCGAGTCTACTTGATTGCATTGAATTCTTCAGTTTAATCATTGTAATCTTCAACTCTAAGATTTCTGCTTGATTTATTTTAGTGGTTTCTATTTCTTTGTTGAACTTCTTATTTTGTTCACACATTGTTTTCCTAATTTCATTTAGTTGTCTATCTGTGTTTTCTTGTAGTTGACTGAATTTCTTTAAAAGGATTATTCTGAATTCTTTGTCAGACAGTTCATAGATCTCCATTTCCTTAAGGTCCATCATTGGAATTTTATTAGTTTCCTTTGGAGGTGGTGTCATGTTTCCTTGATTATTTATAATCCTTGTGGTCTTGTGTTGCTTTCTGCATTTGAGGAGGGAGGAACCTATGCAGTCCTTACAGAAGGGCTTTGGAAGGCAAAGCCCTTCACTAGTCAGCCTGTCCAGAGATTTTGGGTGGGCAGTGTAGTACTATTCATGGGTGGGCTTGCTGTTGGAGTCCTTGGGCAGACTGATGCTGAGAATAGTCAAAAGCCTGGGGCAGCAGTGTTTAATCTGGTGCTGGGCTCCACAGGGACCTTGGGTCATAGGTACCCCCTGGAGCCTAGGTTCATGGGTGTTCATTGGGAGCTTGAGTTCACAGGAGTCACCCAGGGCCACGGGGGCCAACTAGTGCTGGGATGTGCCAGGAGCCTTTTAAGGCCACCTATTTGATGGAGCCCACTGGGAGCTGCCTGGTGACACAGGAGCTGTGAAGTGCTGGAGTGAACTGGGAATGTGGGTTCATGGGAGCCCACCAGGAGTCTGTTGCCACAGACCAGAAGCCTGGGGCCACTGGAGCTACCTGGGTCCATGGGAGCCTGCAGGTGATCAAGTGGATCAGGGGCCTGGGTTCATGGGAGCCCGTTAGGACCCTGAAGCTACGGAAGCTACCTGGAGCCATGAGGGCTCCCTGTGGGCCCTCTGTGGCCACTGAGCCACCTGAAGCTGCTGGAGCTAGCAGGCACCCAGGTGGGCCAGGAGCCTAAGTTCACAGATGCCCTCCAAGAGCCTGGGCCTGAGGAAGCTGCCTGGAGCCATGGGGCCGGCCTGGGACCGCTAGAGCCAGCAGGTTCCAGGGTGAGCTAGGGTCTGATTTCATGGGAGCCTTCCTGGAGCCTGGTGCCATGGGAACTGCCTGGGGCTGTGGGAGCCAGCAGGCCCTAGAAGCCTGGATTCACAGGGCCCCTGGGTCTGCTGGAGCTGCCTGGAGCCACTAGAGCTGTCAGTTGCCTGGTGCAATGAGGGCCTGGGTTCTCGGGAGCCTGAGGTAGCCCTGCCACGGAAGCTGCCTAGAGTCATGGATAATATCTGGGGCCTCTGGATTAGGCAGGCACTGGGATAAGCTGATTTCTTGATTCATGGGAGTCTACACGGGAGCAACAGGAGCTGCCTGGGGTTGCTGGAACCAGCAGGCACCTGGATGAAAGGAAGCCTAGGTTCCCAGGAGCCTGCCAGGAGACTGATGGTACAGGATTCACATGGGTCACTGGAACTGGCAGACACTGGGGTGAGGAGGGGGTCTCTGGGTTAGTGGGAGCCCACAAGGAGCCACCTAGGACTACAAGAGTCAGCCTGGTGCTCGAGCAAGCCAGCTCTGGGGTCTGTAATCAAGTCAGGCGCTCATTTGGCTTTCCTTTTTCCGTGAGGGTAGTGTTCCTCTTCGTTGTGGGCTTCCCAGTCTTGGGGGATGGATATTGGAGCCTGGATTCCCAGAGTCTACCAGAAACCTGGTGTCACAGGAGCCAGCTGGGACTGTTGAAGTTGGCAGGTGCAGGGGTGAGACAGAGGCCTGGGTTCCCAAGAGCCCACAGGAAGCCCTGCTGTGGAAGCTGCCTGGGGCTGGTGGATCTGCCTAGGGCCACTGGAGTAGGCAGCCCTGAGATGAGGTGTGTGGGGAGGGCCTGGAGTCCTTGGCTCTTGTGAAGGTATTTTTGTGTGCAGATAGTTGTTTAAATTGATGTCTGGGGGTGGGGGGGTACGCGTTAACGTCACTTCTATAAGCACATTTGTTTCTTTCCAATCCAAATGCTTTTTGTTTCTTTTTCTTGCCTTATTGCCCCTGATAGAACCTCCAGTAAAATGTGAAATTGGAGTGGTGAGACCAGACATCCTTGCCTTATTCCTGATCTTTCACCTTTGTTCCTGAAGCATTCACTCTTGCACCATTAAGCATAATGCTAGCTGTACTTTTTCTGTAGATGACTTTTTTGATCGGGTTAAGAAGAATCATTCAATTCCTAATTTTGGGGATTTGTTATCATGCATGAATATTAAATTTTTACATGCTTTTTCTGTATTTATTGAGATGATCATATACTTTCTCTTCTCTTATTCTGTTAATATGATGAATTACATGATTCATTTTCTCATACTTCTCTTAGTACTTCTAATCAGATCTCTTATTTATGGAGGTAAATCTGGATTGTTTGTATGTTTTCTTTTTCATCCTGATTTCTACTCCTTTTGTTTCTTACTCTTTCATTAACTTTTCTTTCAGTAACTAGAAGATTCTCTAGGTGCAAAAGTTCAGTTTCTCTTATCTCTGGCCCTCTTTGGGCCATACCTATTATTTCTGGACCAGGACCTTTTGTGAAAGTGGTTGGAGGTAAGGGAGTTGAGGTACAGCTGACCTTAGAGGTTGATTCTGTGATAAAGTTAAGTTTTGTTTTCTAAGGCCTTCATAAGATTGAAATTATGACATTTGTATTTTATAGGTAAAACTCTTCAAAGAAAATGTCTAAAAATAATATTTCCTGTAACCCTTGCCAAGATTTATTGTTGCTTCACCCTTATTATAGTCCTACTTGCAAGTGTGATTTTGCTGTCTGTTGCTTTGGCAGGTAAGTTACTTGTTCTCCAAACGTTACAATGTTCTCCACACATTTATGTTGTCAATAAATATTTATTGAGCTCCATTACCAGTTCCAGGTACTGTGTGAAGTGCTTGAGGTATATTAGCGAACAAAACACACAAAAATCCCTGCTCCTAGGAACTTATATTCTACCAGGAAGACCCAGATACTATAGTAAATGAAAGTAGGGGTGGGGCAGGTTTCAGTATACATATAGTGGCCAAAGTAAGCCTCCTTGAGAAGATCACCTTTCGGCAAGCTTTTGAAGGAGATGAAGGAGCCATGTGGCTACCTGGGGAAAGCTTTCCAGGGACAGAGAACAAGCAGAGCCAAGGAGGAGCAAGTCGAGTAGATTCCTAAGGAGAAATCTCCCTGGTATTTTTGAGGAACAACAAGGAGGCTGATGCAGCTAAAGCAAAGTGAGAATAAGGAAGTGTAATAGGATGGGGGCAGGGAGGTAATAGCCTTGTCAATCATTTAAAGACTTCAGCTTTTACTTTGAATACAGTAGCGAAGATCAGGAAGAGGGAAGTTGCAGGAGAGAATGTCATGATCTGACTTTCGTTGTAGAATAATCATTTTGACTGCTATGTTGAGAATAGATTTTTAGAAGACAAGGGTAGAATGAAAGAGACTATTACGGCAATTCTGTAGAAATCTAGGTGAGAGATGATGACAGCTTCGACCTGATGAGAATGGTGGAGGCGGGGCAGAGTGGTCAGACTCTGGATATTTTGAAAGTCGAGTCAAGAGTGTTTCATAGCAGATTGGATATAAAGTTTTAGAAAGAGAAAAGTCAAAGAAAACTCTAAGGATTTTCTCCTGAGCCATTGCAAAATGTAATCGCCATCCTTGGTAGGAGAAAGACTGTGGGTGTAGGAGTTCCATCTATGGAGCTACTACTTCCTGACATATCCTAATCAGAACTGCCATTTTGTTAAAGAAATACTCAGGTGAGATCTGAGTTTTTATCTTCTACTTACACAGATTGAGAATATACAAAAATATAGGAGAATCATATACTTAAAAAAATTCCTTTGTCTATAGAGACAACAGGTTCTTAGCATTGCTTGGCACACTAAGGTCTGTTCAGGAAGAAATGACATCATATTAGTATATAACTATTATGTATATTCTGATTATATTAGTGATTTTCAAAAGCTGTTTGTTTCTATAACTCCTAAATGTGACCTAAACATTTTGAAAACTAAACGTGCCCTGGCAAATTTTTGTGTTTTCATATAACATTTTTCATCAGAGATTTAAATAGTTGCAAATGATGTAATTTCCAACTCATTGTAAATGTTGGCATTTTAAAATTAATCTGTTATATTGTTCTTTTAAATGTATCTCTTGCAATCTGAATTCTGTTGTGATTTGATACCCACCATTATCCATTTAAAAAAAATACATGCACAAAAACTTTCTTAATCTTGGAAAATTTTGCTTTGTCTTCTTCAAATGCTTGTTTATATATTGTATTTCTACTTGAGAATTTTATCACCGTATAATATGTAATATCTTTGTATCCTTAAAAGTCATTTATCTTTTGTTATTTAATATATTTTTACATTTTTTTGCCATAAAATATTTATATATATTGAAATTTAATAAAAAAATCGTATAACCATAAACCTCTCTTAAAATAATTTCTTCTGGATTAAGTTAAAATTATGATTTTTAGTAATACTCAATATTTTAAAGTGACATATATTACAAATTTTGATAATTATCAAAATAAAAGTAAATGTATATATTTATTAATAAATTATAAAATGTGTGTTAATCTATATCTTGCTCTGAATAGTTTTCCATAATGCGGTGTCTGTCACATATAGCTAAAATTATGAGTTATTAGTTGGGGAGTATGACAAAAGCATGCTAATTCTTCAGTAAATGCCTACACATAGTGTACTTAACTCTACTAGTTGTTTTTTGGTATAATTAAACCAGAATAAATCTCAGAGATAACTCCATTAATAAAGCTAGACATCATGATGAAATTTTTCCTATGATTATAATGAAAGAGATGGTCTAATCTACTAATCTCCCCCACTTCAAAAAAAAACAAACAACTTAATTGGTCTAGCAGTAAGCATCAAATTTTATTTTTTGTTAATAACAGAAAGAACATATTAAATATTTTATATGAGAACGTAAGGTGAGAATTATAATTGGAGTAAATATTTCGTGATATTATTTGATAAAATTAACTTTAATACCTGAAAACAGTTCAGTTATATAAAAAGAAGCAGTGATAGTACATTTTTAGCTATTTGCTTTCACTACTTTCAACCCCGTGACTTACCCTAGGGGTAAGGATTGAGAATAGCTGTAAACAAATTGCTTCCTTTAAATATAAGGGGAACTAAAAGTCATCTTTAGTGTTCCGTATTTCTTACCAAATGTGTTTTTGTTTTGCCTTTCACAAGACTTTCCAAGAAGCAATGCAGTTTTTCTTACATGTTAAGAGAGGAAAAGGTTAGGTTATAAAACAAAAATGTCTAATCTTCCCATAGCCTACATTCTGTAATCTTGCTGGTTTTAGAACAAGGACCAAAATATTTTTTATACATATTTAACAGAAATACATATAAAACAGAAAACTATAGGAAGTCCTACATTGTATTTTTGGTACCCAAATCAATATTTGAATTGTGTTATGTTTTGTTGACTGGAAGGTTTTGTACCCCCTAAGAAATGTACCATAGTAAAATCTAGGACAGCTAAGGAGTTTGCCTTTCTTTTGTCAAGAGGAAGAAGGGCTACTATTAAAGAGGCTGTGGGAAAGGAAGAATCTATGATACTAGAAAAGAGTCCTACTGTACTATGGAAGTTAAATGCTGTAGAAATTAACTTCCTTAAAACCATTAGTGTCCATGTACCCCTCAGAAAGTCAAGTGCCCAGGTGCCTGTTTGAAGACTGATGACTATTGTGCTTAGGATAAGACTCTTAGTGATGAGTTAGGAAAGCAGCAATCTAACGTACGTACTTGGAAACTGACTTCAGGATGGTAAGTAGAAAAATAGATTAAAAGGATGAGAAAACTTATTTATTATAATTCATTGTGGTTGTCCAACTTTTAGTGAGAGAGGCGACACCAGTCCTAGAGTTCCCTGTGTGCGCTGCCTGCCCAAAACAATGGATTGGGTTTGGAAGTAAATGTTTTTATTTTTCTGAAGAGACAAGGAATTGGACATTCAGCCAGACTTTCTGTGCCTCATTAGAAGCTTGTCTTGCTCAGTTTGAAAACCTGGAGGAACTGGTAAGAAATGTTTTTGGTTTATGTTCTTTACTGAATACTCAGCCCCCTGAGAAAGGGAGGCTGTGTAGGGTTAAAGCTGAAAGATGAGGAAGGATCCCATTCCAGGCAGACTTGGGGGTATGGGATGCAGATTAGTGCATAACATTTGTTGGGGATGTATTCTCTTCCTGGAACCCTGTCAGACATTTTAGATACATTCTTTCATATAATCCTGGTAGTTAACCTGCAAGATTAGATGAATTGTTCCCATTGTACAAAGAAATATGGTAGTCATATAATTTATCATCTAAATTGGGACATTTTGGGGATGATAGTGACAATATTAATATAATGCTGGAACAACAGGCATAATCTGGGACTTTCCCAGTCAAATGGGGATTGTGGTCACTTTAAATAAAGTAATTTAGGATCAGAGACATTGAATGACTTAAGCTGAGAATTGGGGGATAGTCTAACTCCAAAGTTTAAGCTTCGCAATTATACCATGCTGCCATCCAAAAAGAGAAGGCTGTAGGGAAGAGAGATTCAAGAGTGATATGAGAGAAAGAGACACATGTTTTCATTTTCCGTGTTTTATAACAGAATTTCCTGAAAAGATACAAAGGCCCTTCTGACCACTGGATTGGCCTTAGCAGAGAATCATCACGTCACGTTTGGAAATGGACAGACAACAGTGAATATAACGTCTCGTACGTTTTGAGAATTCTTTTCCTTCTACTGTGTTTATGTGTGGTTATGTATGTGAGTTGTGTTTCTGAGACAATAAATTTAATTTCATGGAAAGCCTACTGCACTATGAGGGAAGAAATATAAATCTTTTTTATACTCTTCCATTTATTAGCTGTACCTTTAGAAAAACTTTGCTTACTGATTTCAGTTGGAATCTTTAACATGATGATATTTGACATAGTTCTTATACTTTCATCCACTGATTTAAACTTTGTTGAAATCCCTATTTAGAGTGTAGAGAGAACAGCTGATGCACGGCAGGGGCTCTAAAATCCTAGACATCCACTGAAGAACTGACATGCACAAGATTCTTAAGTCCACTCTTCTAGCTGCTGCGTCAATTCATAGAAGGAAGGTCTCCAGCAAACATATGGAAATCTCTCGTATCATTTTATCTCCAGAAAGAAGGAACTTAGTAACGGTTCCTTGCATTGCGAACATTTTAGTGGGGGTATTTTGATTGTAGTCATTACATCGGAGCAGATAAAATGTAGGGGCTCAATCACTCCCATCAATCAAAGCTAAGTAAGCCCTTTTAGGATTTTGCAAGTAAGTAAATAGTTTTATTTTAACATATTGATGAAACAGTTCAGGAGAATACTGAAAATAATCTTCACTGAAGGCTACTGATGACAGCAGTTCGTTTGTCAACAACAGCAATCACTAGTTAAGTACCTAATCAACAACATAACGGAGTTTGGTATAGATGAATGAAAACTTATGATATTCAAGCAGGGATCTTCAGAACATAAAAGGAACTAAATACAGAAATATTATATGTTACTAAGAAGCTATATTAATGATAAATTTTTACTTTCCTCTTAATTCACATTAAAAAAACCTGGAGTGGGGCTGCTGACGATTATAGCGGAGGAATGAACGTAGATGTCCGACCTATGAATTTTTAATATTTTTGTTTTTGGTTTTAGGTGTGTTATCAAAGGAACTGGAGAATGTGCCTACCTGAATGACAATGGGATCAGTAGTGCCAGGACCTACACAGACAGGAAATGGATTTGTAGCAAGCCAAATCATACCTATAAGTGCCAACATATTTCAAGCCCTTTTTAGCAAATAGAAAAGATGCATTGTAAATTGTTATATACAGTTGCTGCCCCACTGCTTGATCTACCAAAAATATTACTAGTATGCATTCATAATATTTGTTGACAGTAAAGATGCAAACTCTCATGGACTGTATAATACAGGGATTTGGAAGAGCACGATTCTAAATTAAACAGGTATTGAATGGCATTTATATTTTGAACACAGAGTATAATCAGTGAACTCCTCTTTCCCTATACAGATCTTCCTTTCTTTGCATACATGGAACCGTAAAAATGACCATGCTAGCTGGAACCATGCAAAACGATTCTAATAACCAAGGAGAAAATAACAATTGGCCTGTGACCTTTACAAAATTTATTAGCACATTCAAAATTCTATTACTGTCAGTTACAAATATATAGGAAAATTTGAAAGTACTAAAACTAATATTTATTTTGTACTCTGTATTTTAAAACATAGAAACACTGACAAAGTGCTTTTTACATTTTAATTCTCAGTGTTTATGTTTTAAATTACAGTGCACTAAATAGATATTATACCTATGAACAAATACCATTCTTTATTTTACCCTTTATTGGATTTAAAATTCTGCTTTTATCCCAGATTAAATCACAAATAATTAATTACTTGAACTCTTTAAGCATTCAATACCAAATTTCAGAACTGTTTATATACTATTGAGTTTTAGAAACAAAATGTTTTCAAGTTTTATAGCATTAGCTACACTGTACTGATGAGTCCCAAAAAGGACGAAATAGCAATTTACAATGTATCTTTTCTGTGTGTACTTCTATTTCTCCTACTTGTAATTCTGTTAAATTTTATTGTATGTAATTTTTTCATGTACAATTTTGTGGCCAGTTTGCTTAAAAACATGTGTAGTCCTTTGTACTATGGAATATGCTTAATATCTTCTGAGTTTCTTGGCTTTAAGTCAAGGAAAGTGTAGCAATGACACAAACTCTCCCCAAAATAACCTGGAAACATTTGAGATGAAGAGTATCTATTCTGTAACACAGCAATGATGCAAATTATATTTAAACACATTTGAGGTCATCATTCATTATACTAATGTTATGATTAAGAGATAAATAAACTGGAAATAGATTTTGATGTTGTTCAGTGGAAATGAATGTACAATATATGTACAGCTGTTATTTTTCAATGTGTGAAATAGATTTAGTGCAGGTGTTTAAATCTTTTCAGTGGGAATCCCATTTGGGAAGTTTAATTTTGCAGATTGGATGCTTTTAATGTTTTAGTCAGAACTAGAATTGGGATTCTAGTGTCTCTCAGAATACGATGTAATGACCAGAGAGAACATTGAGACCTCAAGAGCAGAGATAACCAAAAAATAGGTGAAGAACAAGAAAGAGAAGGACACAAAGTAATAAAAAATAGAAAAAGAGAAAAGGCAGGACAAAAGAAGTGAACTTAGGTTAGATTTATCACAACAGGAATTCAGATGGAAAATGTGAGTGGGATCACAATTTCTGGTGGGATAAGCTGGGGTAGACTCATCTCTCCCTGATCTTCATCTGAAAACAGCACAAGGAACAACCAGTGGAGAATTTTTAAAGATGATAAGATGAAGGTGAGCTGGTTTGGGACCTCAGGACTAGAGAACTAACACGGTAGCAGGGCATCTCAAGTCCTCTTCCCGCTACACCCAAAAGAAGGTTACTATGACTTGATATTTCTTAACCCTCAATCTAACAATAAAAGGCAACCCAGGTAGATTCTTTCCTCACCCTGATTGGTGGCTTCCCACTGACAAACTAGGTGAGTCCAGCAGCACCAGCAAAGGGGATCTATTGGGACCCCCACTGACAATAAACAGCCAAGGAAAGCACTCCTCCTTCCAGACCTGAGACTCCCCTCTACCACTTAAAGACACCACATGGTCAGGAAGACCAGCAGGGATGAACCCACCTAACAAGCACACTATCCAGGAAGCTTCCTTCATCTTTGTGGGCTGGAGACTCCCTTCCTCCACCTAGATGCATGAGGCTGAGCAGCTTGGGAAAACGTGTTCTGCCCCCTCAAGCAGCACCGGCAAAGACCAGGGGAGTCCCTGCGGTACCAGATAAACCAAGAAGACCAAGATAACACTGTAAAGGCTCTGAAAATTAGAGTGTCTTTGGAACTATAGATCACCAAAGTAGGCCAGAACTTGCATGCTAAATCTAAATAGGGTGACTGCCCACTAAAAGAAAAATAAATAAATACTTTCCAGAGTCTCCAAACATAATAGCAAAATGTCTAGGATACAATAGAAAAACCACCCATCATATCAAGAACCAGGGAAACAACTTGACAAAAACTCCTAGAAAATTAAGAATGGGGGGAAGCACCTCAAAGCGATAAAAAGTATCTACAGAAAACATATAGCTAACCTCATATTTAATGGGGAAAGACTAAATGATTTCTCCCTAATATCTAGAACAAGGTATTATGTCCTCTCTTGCCACCAGTATTCAACATCATACTGGAAGTTCTAGGCAGTGCTAGAACAAAAATAGACAAAAATAGATAAATAAATAAGACATACAGATTAGAAAGGAAGAAATAAAACTGCCTCTATTTGCAGATCCCAAGACTGTCTATGTAGAAAACCCACAAAATATAAAAAACGAAACAAAAATCTTCTAGAACTAATAAGTGAGTTCAGCAAAGTTGTAGGTTACATGTTCGACACACAAAAACTAATCACCTTTCTATATAGTACCAACAATTAACATGTGGAAACAAAAACACAATAGCATCTATAACCATTCCAAAGAAAGTAAAATACTTACATATAAAATTAAATATATTCAGGATATGAATGTGGAAATTTTAAAATGCTGATAAAAAAATGAAAGAAAACCTAGATAAATGGAGGTACAAACTGTGTTCATAAATTTGAAGACTTAACATAGTGAAAATATTCCCAAAGTGATCTATAGATTTAATGCATTTTCTATCAAAATCTCAGAAAGATTTTTGTAGACATAGACTATAGACAAGCTTATTCTGGAATTCAAATGGAAAGGCACAGGCCCTAGACTAGCTAAAACAATCTTGAAAAAGAACAAAGTGGGAGGAATTATTCTATATGATGTTAAGGCTTACTATATTGCTAAAGTAATCAAAATAATGTTGGCAGAATGCTGGACACGTAGATTAATACAACAAAATAGAGAACCCATGAGTAGACCTACATGAATATGACTGAGTTTTCACAAAGGTACAAAAGCAATTCAGTAAATGATACTGGAGCACTTGGACATCCACTGACAAAAAAATGAACCTCAACCTAAACCTTACATCTTAAACAAATATTAAGTCCAAAGGGACCATAGGCTTAAGTCTAAAACATAAAACTAGAAAAAAAACCATAGGAGAAAAATTTTTGGATATAGAGCTAGGCATGAATTCTTAAACCTGACACCAAAAGAAAAAATTGATAATCTGGACCTCATCAAAACTAAAAACTTTTATTCCACGTAATACCCTGTTAAGACAGTGAAAAGACAAGCTAGGGACTAGGAGGAAAATTTGCACACCAGATGCCTGAAAAAGGACTAGTATCACTATATAAAGAACTCTCAAAACTCAACAATAAAAAAATCAATTAGAAAATGGATGCAGTGACTATTTTTTTTATCGAGGTCATAATAGTTTATAACATTGTGAAATTTCAGTTGTTCATTATTATATATTAGTCACCATACAAATGTGCCCCTTCACCCCTTGTGCCAACCCCCAACACCCTTCCACCCTGGTAACCAGTAAACTGTTCTCTTTGTCTGTGTGTTAGTTTGCCTTCCACATATGAATGAAATCATGTGGTGTGGGTCTTTCTCTGTCTGGCTTATTTTGCTTAACATAATACCCTCAAGGTCCATGTATGTTGTTGCGAATGGGATGATTTTTCCTTTTTTTAATGGCTGAGTAGTATTCCATTGTATATCTATATATATCACATCTTCTTTATCCAATCATCAGTTGATGGGCATTTGGGTTACTTCCACTTCTTGGTTATAGTGAATAATGCTGCAATGAACATAGGGATGCATAAGTCTCTTCAAACTGTTGATTTCAAGTTCTTTGGATAAATACTCAGTAGTGGGATAGCTGGGTCATATAGTAGTTCTATTTTAATCTTTTGAGAAATCTCCATACTGTTTTCCATAGTGGCTGCACCAGTTTGCATTCTCACTAGCAGTGTATGAGGGTTCCGTTTTCTCCACATCCTCTCCAACATTTGTTATTTTTTGTCATGGTGAGTATAGCCATTCTAATAGGTGTAAGGTGATATCTTAGTGTAGTGTTGATTTACATTTCACTGATGATTAGTGATGTTGAACATCTTTTCATGTTCCTCTTGTCCATCTGTATATCTTCTTTGGGAAAATGTCTGTTCATATCCTCTGCCCATTTTTTTGATCCGGTTGTTTGTTATTTTGTTGTTGAGTTGTGTGTGTTCTTTATATATTTTGGAGATTAACCCTTTGTCAGACACAAGATTTACAAATATTTTCTCCCAGCTGGTGGGTTGTCTTTTTGTTTTGTTCCTGGTTTCCTTTGTCTTGCAGAAACTCTTTAGTCTGATGAAGTCCCATTTGTTTATTTTTTCTTTTGTTTCCCTTGTCCCACTAGACATCATATTTGAAAAGATCCTTCTAAGACTGATGTCAAAGAGTGTACTGCCTATATTTTCTTCTAGGAATTTTATGGTTATAGGTCTTACCTTCAAGTCTTTGATCCATTTTGAGTTAATTTTTGTGTATGGCAAAAGATAATGGTCTACTTTCATTCTTTTGCATGTGGCTGTCCAGTTTTCCCAGCACCACTTATTGAAGAGACTTTCCTTTCTCCATTGTATGTTCTTAGTTCTTTTGTCAAAGATTAGCTGTCCGTAGATGTGTGGTTTTATTTCTGGGCTTTCAATTCTGTCCCATTGATCTGTGTGTCTGTTTTTGTACCAGTACCATGCTGTTTTGATTACTATAGCTTTGTGGTATATTTTGAAGACAGGGATTGTGATTTCTCCAGCTATGTTCTTTTTTCTCATATTGCTTTAGCTATTTGGGGTCTTTTGTTGTCCCATCTGAATTTTAGGATTCTTTGTTCTATTTCTGTGAAGAACGTCATTGGGATTCTGATTGGGATTGCATTGAATCTGTGGATTGCTTTAGGTAGTATGGACATTTTAACTATTTATTCTTCTAATCCAAGTGCATGGAATATTTTTCCGTTTCATGTCATTGATTTCTTTCAATAATGTCCTATAGTTTTCATTGTATAGGTCTTTCATCTCCTTGGTTAAATTTATTCTTAGATATTTTATTCTTTTTGCTGCAATTGTAAGTGAGATTGTATTCCTGAATTCTCTTTCTGTTAGTTTGTTATTAGAGTATAGAAATGCAACTGATTTTTGTAACTTGGTTTTGTACCCTGTGACTTTATTGTAGTTGATTATTTCTAATAGTTTTCTGAGGGATTCTTAAGGGTTTTCTATATATAAAATCATATCATCTGCAAAGAGCAAGAGTTTCACTTCTTCATTTCCTTATTTGGATTCCTTTTATTTCTTTTTCTTGCCTAATTGCTCTGGCCAAGACCTCCAGTACTATGTTCCATAGGAGTGGCGAGAGTGGGCACCCTTGTCTTGTTCCTGTTCTCAGAGGGATGGCTTTCAGTTTCTCCCTGTTGACTATGATGTTGGCTGTGGGTTTGTCATAAATGGCCTTTATTATGTTGAGGTACTTT